ACTAGTTAATTATAATAAGCCCCCAGATTACTCAACTGAATTTACATTTTCCCTACTTCAGTGATTTAAGCCTAAATCAATAAGACGACCCTTGTCTTTGAATAAATATTTATTTATCGTTAGGCAAAATTAATAATTGTAATAGTGAAAATACGTATCGAGTTCAAATTACATTATTTTTTGTATGATGGAGGAGACAAGCAAGCTTAACTTGATGGTAGATGAAATGTCCGAAAGTTATAAATTGATTAAAAGCATTTTGGAACCCGGTGGGGAACTCACAATCCGTTGAACATTAGCCATACATTGCTACCATAACACCAAGGAGTTCATAGAAATTATCATTTATTCTATACTGTCTATAGCTTTACGGTGTAACGGTTTAAAACGCTAAAGTGTTTTGTTTAAATGTGGCACTACTCCCTAACAAGTTTAATATACGATATTTATTCTAATGACATTTAGTTTTTTTTTTCAAACTAATTAAATGGAAATAGAATACATTTAAATATCTTATTAGTTATTCATGCCATATATAGTTGGAGAACTCAATAAAATCAACTCAGTATTCTAAGCATTAACATCGCGCGATTTAATCCGGTGATATTATGTCATTTCTACTTTAACCTTCTTTTCTGATTAATAACACACTTCAACGGTTTTAAACTTGACATATATTAAACTTATTTTAAGTGTTTTACTACTCGCGTAAACTACAGACAGTATTTTCATTTCTGGTTTGCAAAATAAGAAAACTAATGAAAGAAAAAGAAACAATCGTTGTCAATCGATTCGCATCACAAAAGGGAGCCTAATTCCGCTTGATATCAGGGAAAATAAATCATCTCTTTGTTCGTTAGGCGACAAAAATAATTTTCAATGGGAAGAAAAATGGAAGGCGACGGACTAATGAGCGCTCTATAATTATAAAGAAAATATACGGATAATCTTTTATTATGTACACGTCTATTAATAAAACTTATTTGTTATATGATATATAAATCTATACTGAAATATAAAGCTGACTAGTTTGTTTGTATATTTGAACGCGCTAATCTCAGCAACCACTGATGGTAATCGAAAAATACTTTTTGTGTTGGTTAAATAATTTACTGAGAAAGGATATAAAACATCATGGTGCTACTAATACGAGTGAAGAAGCAAAAGGAAATGTGGTGAAATCGGGAAAAAGTATTTATCTTTATGGGCTGTCGTTGCGTACACTGTGAAAACGGTTCAAAACACAGAAAAAGTATGTATGAAAGAATGAATCCTCTTTAAATGAACTAAAAAATGTTTTGTCACTATATGTCTATCTTTTAAGATTAAAATGCAAGAACGACGGCACGCGACCGACGTGGTGGGCTTAAATCTATAATGATGAGAGGTGGTTTGCAAAAACAAATTTTGATGTCCTATGCCATTCTACGCTGACGAAGTCGTTGACCCAAGTGATATTCTTACCTCTGTTTTAGAATTAAATTAATCGGTAAATGGAGTTTAAATGTTATACGTGTTTACGCCTGAAAAACAACGACGTATTACGCTTACACTACGAGTATATTAACTACTTTGAAAATAGGCCTCTGGTTACACTCTAGTGAATAATTACAAAACAATTAGTTTGAAAAGAACAAAATGTTTGCTGTTATTTTTTATGCCAGGGGAAGACTCTTCATCGTGGGCATTACTTAATGCATGATGAAGTATCTCATCTAAACAAAATACTCTGTCTATCTATTTTGGGACAAGAAACGCCGATACACTTTTCAAATTCTCCAACTACAACGACCCATTTTATATTTTAAATTTTCGAACTTAATCTAACATATTTCAAAAAAATATATTATATTGTTTTTCGAAACATGTTGACCCTGGTGGGAATCGAACTAATGACTCGTAGTTTCGACTCTCGACTCATATATTATACCAACGAGGTAGTTGAGATAACTATATATATCTAATAAGTCTGATATTTTAAAATCAAATATTACATAATAATTTATAGTCATTAATCTAAGCTTCCCTAACTAACATAATCATTAAGGATTAATCTGACCTAAATTAAATAATAAACTGAACCAGTAATCATTAAGGACCGCCTCTGTAGCCAAATCGTTAAACGTATTGCCTATCCTCGCATTAAGCGCGAGAGGTCCTGGGTTCGAATCCCAGGGAAACAAACATTGTTTTGGTCAGGACAAAAAGATGTGTTCGCCCCATGCCCCACGAGGGGCAAACGGGATTTCACACACAATCTAAACTTCTGTGTTTTATAATATCTATTGGATTCCCGTAGCATACTTGCGTCCTTTCGTAGCGAACTTCTACAGTTAACGCTACGGCGTAGCGTTCGTTATTTAATTTTATTTAATTTCTACCATGTTACAAAATATTATTATTACCAACATTCCAGGCCATGACTTCGTGTATTTAGCTTAATATACATTTAAATAAAACACTTTAACGGTTTAAAACGCGATATATTATTTAAACTTATTTGAAAATGATTTTTAACTTCGGCCCGACGTTTCGGATGCTTTGCAGCAGCCGTGGTCACGGGGAGAGTAAATCTTTCGTTTCTGTATATTTTATTTAAATGTGTATGACACAGTATTCAATATTTTGCAGGTAAAAGTAATATTTTTGCATAGTATGTACATGATACATAAAGATAAACAAAGATGCAATACATACAATCTAAGTACCAGTTGTTTATAATTGAATTATATTACCTATATAAACTTGAAGTATCATGATGAATGTTCATTTTTTAAAGGTTTAGTTATAATTAGAACTTTAGACTGTATTTTATTGTGTGAGTGTGAAATACCGTTCCCCCTCGTGTCGTCCGTTTCACTGATTCGTTCTTTAACAGGCAAGTAGTTGATCAGACTTCTGTGCCCTGCCTGATAGAAACATTTTTTTTTCGTTTCCCAGGGATTAGAACCCAGGACTTCTCGCGCTTAACGCAATGCTAGGCAATACGTTTAACCATTTCACTACAGAGGCGGTCAAATATTTTATTAATACCAGTTAAATAATAAAACATAATTGCACGGGCGTGACTATATTGAATCAACGACGGACATTCATATGTAGTGCATTGTGCCCCATTAAGGAAACAATATTTCGCTTAATTTAGAATAGAATATTTTAAACCAGATCCACTTATAATATTAAGTTAATTACTTATTATTTAATTGCTATATTTTAAGCTACAGTAACTTTCTTATTTAAATCAATTCTACCCATCTTATTAAACAAATGTATTAGATACCTCAAACAATTTTACCAAGCCTCAATGTTAAGGTAACAGTACTAACAAATAGAATAAATATTTATACAAGAGAAAGGTTTTAGGTCAATTACCTAAACGTAGTTAGGAAAAACGTTACCACTAATTCTAAATGCCTATTCTTTGTGGAGCATTCAGGTCTTTGTCTCAATTGAGAACCCACTTCAATATTGTATCTATTTAAAAAGATAAACAGTTGTTATAATAAAATTAAAAATCTTCTGTTTTAGATAGATTACGGAATCTATTTGTTTGAATATTCGGATATTCAAAGACAAATTAGATCGGCGGTGCATCTTCTTAAAATGTTATACGGGTAGGGTATTACGCCTTCATAAAAAAATTGAAACATATTTTTCATAATTTTGTCCTTCATTTCACAAGAAATACATAGCGGTACTTATATATTATATTTAATAAAAAAGTATAGAAATATATTTAGTATTTCCTTTATAGTATAATTTAAGTAAGCAAAAACGTCGGATACCGTCAAACTTAAATAAATCCTTTAAAAGGAAAAACTACATGGTAAAGATAATAAAATAACAAATTAATAAATATGTGAAGTTTTGATCGCCTTCGTTATTTAGTCGTTGAACGCATTGCGTAATTGTAAGAGTGTGGGATTTTTGAATTGGAATCACAAGGAAGCTTAGTTAATAGGTTGTTAAAATATTTATTATCAGTAAGACATACGGACACAAAAATACGTCTACCCAGTAAGAGGTAAGGTAGACGGTTTCGAATTTTAGTTTTAGATTCAAGAACTAATGAAATTAAATATTGTATTTTTTTTTACAAAGGGTTCATGTAATGATAGGTAAACCCCGAGCTATATAAAGTCTCAAGAAGTTGTGCTAAAGACCTATTTTGGCTTTGGATAATCGGAAGTCCACAGATTGAAACTGAAACACAATTCGATGAAGAATCGAACCTGCGACTTATTAATAAATAGCTGTATTATTTCTAACATTAGACCAACGAGCTCATCGCAATAGTAGTAAAAGTAAAAAAATATCACGTAGCGATGTATGCTGACCAAACGTATTTCTGTAGCTTCATATACATTTTAATTGCTTCTTCACAAGATTTTCACAGTACGTTTTAGTAGACCACAGTCGAATGCGAAAATTTCCCTCCATCCTTTTCCATCAGATGCGAATTTGTCTTCTGTCTCTGTTCAACATCCCGGTTTGCTGGCACGGGAATGATCCCTTATGTAAGTCAGTGCGATCAAGACGTCCCAGTCGGCCAGACGTACTCGACGAAACTGAAAATACAAACAAAATTTGAACTCGTAACGAATTCTTCGGACGTAACGGAAGGATGAAAGTGAAAAGTGTTTTAGTTGAAAAATAACGGAAACGTGTCTTATTAAAAGTTGAAAGACGTCGAAATTGTCGTGATTTATATTAACACGTTGCATTTTGGAATAAATCTAGCGGCATTATGTCGGCTGTAATCCTTACACGCGGTTCCGATAAACTACTGCTCGTGTAAAGGCTCTTTAAAAATAGATTATAAATGACATGTCAAATTTTATTTGAAATTTGTCTCCTCGGTAAGCGCCGGAGCTCATGACAGTCGGATTAAGTTGTGACACGACTTCAGGACTAATTATGGGATATTAAAAAATAGTGACGATGAAAAGGAAAAGGGTGTGAATATAATTAATAGTGCTGTTAATTGGTTGATATTAACGATGGCTGATTTGAAGAAAATGAAGTGGCATTCGTATTTTTTACATGCGATTATGCTATTCGTCAGTTTGATTTATGGTAAGTTTTGTAGTTTAGGAACACCTTTTTACTTCAATATAGATCACTTTTTTGGTTCCAACCTATTAATATTCCAAAGCCCAAAGCTTATTTCTCTCACAAAATAGAGTTTAATCATAAATAATATTTAAAATATATAGGTAATTCGATGTGCAATTAAAAAATACATCTTTGCGTTATCAAATAATTGAGGTACGAATTTGGAAGTTCTAGAAACGCCTGAAAATATATTGTACTTAAATTCTTGATACTTAACAGCTAGGTTGCATCCTATTCAAAACAGAACCTCTCTAACCAACGCTACACTCCGTGCTCTTTTATATAATGATTCAAAAGTGCTTTTACTTCCATATTGAAATCGCGTTCTACTGAATCCGAAATGAAACTTTAAATTGCAACTGAAAAACTCATGAATTTCGCGGTATATTTTCTTTTTCTTGTATTTTGAAGGTTCGAATTTTAATTAAGTATTGCTTTAAAAAAACACTTTAACAGGTTAAACGCAATAACTAATAATAAGTTTAACTAATATATATCGAGTTTTAAACCGTTAAAGTGTTTTATTTAAATGCGTACTACCTACTCGCCTGAATAACAGACAGTATTCACATATTATATACTGTTATATTAATAGTCCTTTGGGGATACTGATTGAAGACCGGATGATCTGTCTACAAAACAGCTGACCACTTCATCTTTCTTGAATGGTGATTAACGCCAAATTATATAGAAACTACTCAGTAGTTCGTAGACGTAGTTAGACGCTTATAAATGAATCTTGAACATTACAATACGGATTTTTTAAGCCGGGTAGCTTTGAATATGTATTTGTTTCTTTTATATGAATACGTTTTACGTTGAAATTCGGTTCTCTATCAAGTATGTCATTGTAGAAAATATTAATTTGTTTATAGTCTATGTAAGTAATAGGTCCGTATATTGGGTAGTTTAAACACTTTTTAAAAAGTGCATCTACTTTGTGGGGCTTAGGGCAGACACATTTCTCTCTGATTCACTGATAGGTTTTATTAACAAGAAAATGTGAAAATGACATTTACTTTGTCAGAAAAATATGTTTTCTCGGGATTCGAACTCGAGAGTCAACCTGGGTGCAAGACGATTTACCCTATCATAAGCTGAGCGTTAAACTACTGATCAACGGAGGCGGCCAGTCCATAATTTAAATAAAACACTTTAACAGTTTAAAACGCGATATATATTGGTGAAACTGATTTGAAAATTATTTTAACTACGGCCCGACGTTACTAGTATATAATAAAAATAATAAAATAGAAAAGTTTTTTATTACCAAACATATTTTACATGTTTTACGTTCCGTTTACAATTTATTCGTATTTGTCAAATGTTGTTTATGTCGGGTCCGCATTTTGCGGTAAAAGCCTCCTCCATACGCTTCCACTCCGTTCTGTTTGAAGCGCTTCGTTCCCAGAATATGCCTGCAGTTTCCTTATATTCGTCGTGCCACCTCCTGGACGGTCTACCTTGTTTCCTTTTTACGCCTAATGGAGTCCAACTTGTGATAACCTGGGACCACCGGTTGTCCTTTACTCGTAGCAGGTGCCCAGTCCACGTCCACTTCAGCTTTATGGAAGTCATCCTGATGTCTTTGGCCTTTGTCGCCTTTTATTACTAGTATATATCACGTTTTAAACCGTTAAGGTGTTTTATTTAAACGTGTACTACTCGCGAAAACTACCGACAGTCCAACACATCTTGTTAATAATTATGATAATGTTGGTTGTTACTTGTATTACCATTAATTTATAATAAGGGAATGAATAATTGCTGTCTAATTAATTGTAATATGTAATTTTCGGTTCGCATGTGGATGAAAACCAATATTTTGTTTGTTTTGCGTTAATTGCAGTATTGTTGTTCGGTTTTTTAAAGTAATTAAAAATAAATATGGATCACCGTGGAAAAGGAAGTTAATTGAAAAAGTGATTCGATATTTTCAACTAGATTTGTTATATGTTGGTAACGGGTAAATGTTAATATTTTTTTTTTGTATTGCATAACCAATTAGTTTTAATACTGATAATCTTAGGTTATCTGCTCCGATTTTTTTATTTAGATAAGTAACAAAAAACTGCTTTAATGCATGTATAACTTTTTTTTAATGCATTATAAAAAGTTTAGGCTAAAATGTATTTATAATACAGTTGTGGGATGTAAGTGAAATCTTGATTCCCTTTTTGGAGCCTGCGGCAAACACATTTCTGTGTCCGTTTCACTGGTAGATTTAATTTACAGGACGAAAACAATTTTCCGTTTGCCCGGAATTCGAATCCGGCATCTCTCTCGCTAAATACTGCGCCACGTTCAACTATTACTATTAGCTATGGTGATAAAATATTCATGCTTAACAGGCAGATTAACTTCTGCTAAAAATTCGACGAATTTTATGCAAGCTTGCAAAAGATAATCGCCACTTTTCGAAATTTATTAGGATCATCGGGTTTATTTTAAGTTTTATAGAATCGATAGTGTTTTATTTGTCACTTTTCAGGGTTGCTTTTTATATGAATGGACCCAAAATGTTTCATTGTACGGAACAAGTATTTGCTAACCACAACCGTTTGTAGTTTACTCGACAAACAAACAAAAAATATTTTATTTTCACCACAATGTTACAAAATAAACTTAATTAAAATTAACAAAATGTAGCGAAAAAAGGCGGCCGTATCGCTAAAAAGCGATTTCTTCCAGGCAACCTTGAAAATGGAGATTTACAATAATACATGATAATAATAAGGGTAACACTAGCTAGAGCTATAATAAGTTTATACAATATCTAAGTATTTTTTTAAAGTTTACTTAGTAATTAAAATAATTTACCTATAAAATAAATAATGTATATTGTTTTAAATTAAAGTTATTTAAAAATGTACTATTCGCGTATACTACAGAAAGTATTTAGAACCACATAATATAAAAAAATATATAAGCCTTATCAATTTTAACAAGGCATCCTGGGTTCGCACAGGCCCAACTAGCAAGCCAGGTTCGTATCCCGCCTGTGTCATTAGTTACTAACTACCTAAAAACACGATTGACATTCTCTTTTTTATTTAAGCCTACTTCAATACTATTTTTTTTTGTTAATTCAATATATTAGTTATTAATATAAAAACGTTACTTTACTATGTAATTTGAGGGTATAAAAAGTATTTACCTTGGAGAGTAAGCGGGTATTTTTGATTGAAGATGCCACTCACTTAGAGCGCTCGTGAAATTCCTCTAACGTCTCTCTAAAATGTTCATAAAATGCATTCAATTTTAGAAATTATATTACAATTGACAAACGTGCCGCATAAGCCCATCCATCCATCAATATTGACATTATTTTTATTTTCAAGGAGGACAATTCCTACCAATGTAATCTATAATGATGTCATATAAAAGCTGAACAGTTTGTTTGTTTGAACGCCCTAATCTCAAGAACTATTGTTTCGAAATGGAAAAAATATGTTTGTACTGATTATAGCATTTATCGAGAAGGGTTATATATAGGCTATAAAACATCACGCTGCGACGAGTAGGTGCGAAGAAATATATGTAAGTATGAAACAAACAAAGCTAGTGTAAAATAACGCTAACATTAGTCGCAAAACGTGATACAATTTTGACGAGGTCCTTGGCCTACTGGTAACAATATATGTCTAACAATCAACGGATCTGCGTTCGATCCTCAACGCTCACGCATTTTTGAAATATGTTGGACTTCGTCTGGAAATCTGAATATTAAATTGGTCACGATCGACCGTCCACAAATGTAAATTAAATCAATTGAATCGCGTTTCGGTTTCAGTCTGTAAATTTCCGAATATCCATCGCAAATGGATTGACAGCGCATCTCGCTTAAATTTTATGTCTATCCTCCTATATCAAAAAAAAAAACAAATTATATAATTTGTTTTTATATATATATCTGACGGGAGATTTTTGTAAATGCGGTCTTTGTATAACGTAAGCTTATGTTAGAGGTAACTTTTAATATTATATAATAATCTGTGTGAAGTTAATAAAGTGGGAGAACACATTCCGAAAATATTAAAGTCTACGTAATCCGATATGTTAGACAGACCCTCGTCATAACAATAACTTTTATACATCTTTGTACCAAATAGGATATCGTGTTTCATTCTTGTCTTCGTCCTTGTAGGCTATGTCGAACTTAGGTTCTATTATACGGGATAAGATGTTTTGTAGATTGTCAGTTTTCAGCTTATAAACGGGTTTTTGTCGGGTTTGGTAGCAATGTATGGCTAATCAATGGGTCGTGAGTCGTGTTTGTAAAAAAAATAATTATAATCTATTTATATTTTTCCTGAAATTTAGTAAATGAGTGGTAGGAATATTGAAATTCCATAGACACGAACCACCATCCACAGATTAAAAAGCCGGAAAGTTTAATCGCGCTTCGGTTTCAGTCTATGGTTTTCCGAATATACAAAACCAAAACGGGTCGACAACGCATCTAGTGTAGATGTTATACTCTGATGTCCTCCTCTATCAAAAAAGACAATCGTCTTTTATGTATAATATTTTACACATAGCTCTGAAATAAATTCACTAATATTTACATACATCTAAATCATTAAAAAGATTTGTAGACCGACTATATATTTTTTATTTTAATAACAAGACGAAGAAATAAAATAAATTGGAGAAAAGGTTTCCTTAATTCAACAAATCAAGCATAAATTAATTGTTATTAGCTTTCAACGGACACAAAATAACTAAGTACCTCAATCTCTTAAGTCTTAATGAGAAAAGAGACTAAGTGCATTTAGGAAATTCATTACGAAGTCTTCGCTTTTAAGACCGGAACCGTTTTGAACTTTCATAATTGCCAACTGCAGTTGCAAGGGAATTTTGGAAATGAATGGGGATTGAGTTGTAGTGGGACTATTTCGGAAGCTGTTTACAACAAAGAAGAACTATTCCGACAATTACAGCTTTGGCAGAATGATTTT